TAAACATCATCTATGAATAATTTATTGAATGTTATGTCCAAACAGTAGGACAGCTAAATTCAATCACTAGGACATGCCGTAAATTCCGTCCAATCACTCGGCCAAATGGACGCCTGTAGATATTTGTAAAATTTAATATTTTCTTTCACGTGAATGTTTTCTTATAACGACTTTTCTGGAAGAAAAAGTACTGCTCTATCGATTGAATGTACTCTTTTGTCAATCTATATTATTTTAATGTATAAAAAGTCTTCGTAACCACAATCTTCGCCTTAAATGTCCAACCACTGGGACATTTACTTTACATGTAATATCATTCCTCGACACCTACAGAACAACAAAAACATTCAGAATCACAAGAATCCACCAGACAGACTCGACATCACCCGCGTTAGTCGGCCATGCTTAAATGTTTAATACGCGTGGTTAGGTGGATGACGCGGCAAGCAAGCCACCGCAAATCACGGTGGGACAACACAAAACACGTGGACCGTCTGAGAATGCGCGGGAATCGTTCGTGGCGTGCACGCACGCGTGGACGATCGATCCACGCGACACCCCCAGCGGCTCCGGATGAGAAGTGGTAGACCATTAATGTAATTAATAAATTAAGCTTCCGGTAAGAAAAGAATGGCTGAGTCCAGCACGCACACACCAAATACCGGTAAAACGAGCCCACGTATCACGAATAAAACAAAAGAGGGGAAGAGGGGAAGGCGAACAATTAAAATGCGACAAAAAATCGATCCAGCGCGGCGGCTTGAACGCGATCGACGGGGTTTCTCCGTGACCTCCCTCTACGTGAGAGGTCAAGGTCACTGGCGATACGCGCCCGTCCGATTTCAAGTCGTATTTTCCCTCTTGAGTTATTTGTTACGAGATCGGGGGATATTAAACGGACAATAATTAATGGTATTACTGATACGTTATTAATGATTACATACACAAGGGGAGAAGAAATCGATTATTCGTGCCGTTAGTCAGCGGCAGGGGGGCTTGATTAAATGTGTTATACATCGATATCGAGAGCTCGAGCTTGGAACGGTTAGATATATGTTAAGCGGAACACGTACCGAACCGGTACCATTGCTTGACTTTTCGCGTGTGCGAAAGAAAAAGTTGAAATTTCAATTAGAATGTTCCCACTAAAATTACGTAATGATAACATACTTCTACTTTCTATTTATATCAGTAGGTCCTTCGAGTTAAGAAATGTATTTTAGTAATACTACGTATTTTCAATTCCTTTTACGTCAGTAGGCCTTGCACTACTGACTGGCATTACTCGCTACTGGCACACGTGCATGCAAAATTATTTGTAATTACATATTCAGTTACAGTGGACAAAAAAAAGTATTCGTACACCTTTTAAAACAGAACAACTTTTTCAAAATTGGACCAAGTGACTTGAGTCTTTTGGGTAAACCTAGAAGGATTAGTGTACTGAATGATGTGTTAACAAAATGTTGAAAAAGTTGCAATTGGTCAGAATCGGAAGGAAATAGTAAAGGTCGCTTTTTGCAAGTTTTTTATCTGAGATTGCAATGAAAAGTTAACAAATACATTGCTTAGATTTATGTTAGTTATATGTAGGGTTGCCAACTGTCTTTTTTGGAAAGGCTTTCCTGTCCTTGTCCTTTTTTGAGTTTAGAAAAAATGCCAAATATCCTGTATTTCGAAAATTAAATAATGCAGAATCTCAAGAGATTGTCGATGATTTTAAATTATTTTTTTCTTCAGCAATTACTTACTTGAAAGAACACTTTAACTTTGATGAAAATTCTACAATTGGCAAATTGTCAATTCCAAGTCTGTTAAATAATTTATTTCCAACATACCAGAAATTTGTTGAAGTTATTGAAGATTCGAAGCTAAAAGACAAGCTGGATTTGAATATGGATAACCTTTTTGATGAAGTAACATTAATTCAAAAAAACTTTGACTCTATTCAACGTTCTGAACATTTTACAAGATCCAAGACATCAAAAAAATGGTTCGGGTATAAATGTATGAATATTTTTAAAATAGTTTCGTATGTGTTGTCAATTCCTGCAACATTAGCTGATTGTGAAAGAGTTTTTAGTGTCATGTCAACTAAATGGAAAAATGAACGAAATAGATGTTCGATTGAACTTATAAAAAATGAATTATTTATATATTTCAATTTGAAAGAAAATTGTTCAGATTTTGCCGAAAAGTAAAAAGTCATGCACATTTCCTAAAGTCTACCACAAATCAGAACATATATAATTTTAAAAATTAAAAGTTTACTTTAGTTTTACTTTTAAAAGTTTCAAATATTTTTTTAAGTTTCTCTACATTTTTGAATTAACACTTTTTTAATTGATTTGTAATGATTATTCTAATAATGCATCTTTTGTGTTCAATGAGTCGATATATTATTACCTAAATTACTAAAGTAAAACTTCTTTTGATTGTTTTCGAAGTTTACCATATGCGTATGAATACTAAAAAATTTTATTTATCATATATTTCATTGGTTTACGACGTTATTGCTTCAATATTGCCGATTCAATGTAATGCAAATTATTGTTAGTAGTAAAAAATTATTTATGGTCTTGCTTTCGTCATTCTATACAAGGTACGATCGCAATTATAGCTCAATTGAGCATAAGGTGATTTTACGTGCAAAAGTAATGTAAAAAGTTAAAAGCAGGTGTTCTTGCATAATTTCCAAATAAATGGCGTTATAAACTTATTAAATACATGATATGCCATTGGCCGATTTTTGTATACTTGCTGAAAGTAGAAAAGTAGGTAATGGCCAGACACACGCGCCAAGTTGTATTTACCAATACGCGTACCCGAGAAATATTTAAATACATTTTTTTTAAAGAAACCCTCAAACAGAAGAATAATAATCAATTATATCATCATTATTGTCATACCGTGTATAAGTAATCATTAGACGGCGGATTTTATGCATTTACAGCCATTAGGGCTTTGTGTAATGTAAAACAGAAATAACTTTCGTCAGATGCAATGTGTTTTCTACTGTATTCCGAAGCCAATAGGATCTTTAATAAAAGAAAGAAATTCCTACCTGTGCTGTTATTGTAAAAAATTACTTTAGAAAATCTCATTTTGCATAAAAATCCGCAGTCTGGTAATCGTATAAAGTCTTGTAAGTATAAACTAAAAGCTGAAGATTTTGAACACTATTTTCCCAATATGTGTATACTAAATTTTTAATTATTTATCGTGATAAATTCTATCAGCTAGTGAAATAAATGGCTGTCAATCTAAAATACCATGTATAATTAACGTTGAACTTGAAGTGTTTTAAAAATTTCTAAGAAAAAGCTCCACGAAACTTTTCAGGAAGAATTTTTTGCAAGAACCTTGATATATTAAAAAGTGTTAGAGAGTGTTTCGTACGCAGGACACTGATAATTTTTCTCGAACCGAGATCTCCTCAGAAAAAGGAGGCCCGACAATACGTGACTCTTGGCGCAAAACTAGAGGCCCGACGTAAATAATTTCCATAATCTGAGATCGCCCTAGGACCTGGCCATATTTTTTTTCCGGAACGCAAGATCTCGTGCCTTCGTTGCAATCGATCTAATAATCTTGCATTTTCTCCTCCCTCGAGCTTACCGGTTCGACTGAAGTATGATACTCGAATTGTCTGTTACGTTTTCACGATGTCACAGAAAAATACTCACTAAATAATACAACAAATATTAATTTTTCATTAAAACGTATTTTATCAGTGACCAGTGTTTGAACAAAATGTTAAATATTTGACATAATTTTACCTAAACAAGGAAAATAATCATTTACGAAATTTTAAAAAGAAATTTTATGTAAAAGAGACATACAAGTTTCCTCGGTAGTTTTATTCTTTATGGAACCTCGTGTACCATTCAGGTAATTATTAAACAATTGTTTATTCAGTAATATTGATCTATGATTGTAATCGAATTATAGAAACATATTGCTTTGATTCCGGGTCGTAAACTAACTGGCAAAATTATCTGTTTAGAATCTGTCCATTCGTTTTCTAATTCGAAATGTTTTTAATAATTTATGTTTCGTGTCAAGGGACACTGATTCTAAACATTGTGCAAGGGTTAAAATACAATACTGGACTCCAGCGCCAGAGTGTATTAAGTCACACTTTTCAAACTTTAGAGGATTGCAAATATTAATAATCAATAAAAAGCAATAATAGTCGGTAAGAACCGAATGAATAACAATCGGTATCTTCGAGCTATTGAATAAATTTAAAAAAAGTCTGGATGCCTAGAAATGGTCAACATCGCATTAAGTCCCCTACGCGATGGTATTTATACTTTTTGGCTCGAAACAATCATTTTGACACTATTATATTAAAAGCTAATCCACTTAGAGCAAAATAATGATTACCATCAGAAAGATTGAAAAATTCGATACAGGAAATATGTAAACTGTCAATTTTTAAAAATCATACACTCTGGTTCTGGGGTCCAGAAATAGGTTTTACGTACTCGAATCATGAAATCTCGTCATATTGTTCACTTCGAATAAATAAGAATATTAAAAACACCGCATAATACAATACACTTTCAGCTTTCTAACACTCCTTTATCAAATAATGACGTTATTTATTTCATTGCTTCGTTCAGAAATGTAAACAACTGTAAACGTGATATTAACAATAAATACATTATAATACTAGAACTGGGAAACCGTTCAAAATGCCAGGTTTCAGATTACTCACATTACAGTTACAAGAATCTTAAATATGTTTCTATCAGAATTTCCGTAGACGTTACATTATACACTCTTACGTTAACTTGTATTATATTATAAAATTTAATTGAATTTAATTCAGTATCGATAGTAGTACCGTTTAAAAACAGAACGAAAGTTAATCAAATATTCATTCGATTAACGCGAGAGTCGCGAAAAGTCAAGCAACGATAATATGGTTCCGTGCCCTCTCTACCATTTGCGGGGATATTCTTTGCTCATATGGTGTGATTGCCTGGACTCACCGATCCTCTTGACGTGGACGTCTCGATTGAAGGAGACGGTTCTCTCAGCGGGCTTCCACCCGGAGACAGAAGCCCCGGTTGAATCGGGGGGTAGCAGTAAATCGGCGGTGCGAGCGTCGGATGCCTCTCCCTCTCTTAAAAAGTCCGATCGTTGAACCTCGAGCATCTTCCCGGCCTTTTCCTCCCAACCATAACACACAGCCGGAACACCACCGCCCTTTTTTCTGCCCCCTTTGCCTCTTTTTTTTCCTTTTGCTTTCCTCGTTTTCCTCCTTTACACACCTATGTACCCCTCTTCCCGACACCCCAACTGGCTGTTCTATACCGACCCCTTTGGGGCGTTTTAATGCGTCACCCTTTTTCGCAATCTCCCCTCTCCTTCACCCTCTTTCCGATCACACCGATCACCAACCTGTAAGCCAAGCAAAGCTGTGCTCTTAGTATATATCTCGGTTCGTCTCTCAACTAGATTGAGATTTAAGTTCTTTCCGTCTCCCCGTGGATAGGAAATCGTCTCTTTTATTCGTTTTGTCGCCGTCTCAAGCGGTTTTCGAACCGTTCGGGTTTTGCGGTAAGCTTCTAAGCGTATGTATAATACATGTGTATATACAGGGTGTCCCGGGCGAATGGGACGAGTTACAGCGCTAAAACGATATAAGATGGAAAAGACTTTTATTAGTTCATACAATTCTTTCGAATGATGCATCACGTGGTGTATGTGTATTTTCCGAGAGTGGAGGGTTTTTAAAAATTTCAAAATCACCTCTACTTTTCTAAATGGAAAACTATACATTTTCTTATACACCATTCCATGCACTTTTTAATTATCGACAAGAAAAGTATTAAAGTACTTGGTCCAGAAAATGATCAGTTTAAAATCGAACGGTGTATATAAAAATGTATGGTTCCATTTAAAACAATAGAAGTGACCTTGAAATCTTTTAAATGCCTCAATTTTCGCAGAAGATACAACACCTGATACATCACTCGAAACTATTTAATTGTTCCTAATAAAATTATGTTTTATCTTCTGCCGTTTTGAATGATATGGCCTGTCCCACTTGCGTGGACCACCCTGTATATGTATGTATACCAGTTCTGGGAGGAGATCCGCCCAGTGGTGGGGATGACTCACGAGCAGCTAAAGCGGGACCCCCTCGTGTAATTACATGTATACACGTCGATCCAAAACTTTATTTCGGACCGGTTGACGTATATACTCGTCGTGTAAAATAAAGCATTACCATTTACTACAAAAACTCAAAATTTCAGTAAGAAGTAATAAGAACGTCATTTAGTGGCAAGTTTCCTTTATATCACCAATAAGACTGCCATGTATTTTACAAAAAGAGTTTCATTATTTTCTTTGGGATATCGGTTACTCCCCGTACAATGTATTGCTTTTTGCAAACTATGATAAGTATGATAACTAATGATAAAATACATATGTATACATATGTACACAGGGTGTAAGACAAATGTGCAAGGACCCGAAAATGGGAGACTCGTGAGGTGATTTGAAAAAGTATTTCCTTAACAAAAATATTATCCGAGGTTTTTTTTACGAGATATTAACGAAGAAACCCGACCAATCAGAGCGCGAGTCTGCCAGCCAAGTTCCCGCGGTAACGTTGGCTACTAATCGCAGCGCGTAGCCAACGTTACTGCGGGAACTCGGCCTGCAAACTCGCGCTCTGATTGGTCAGGTTTTTTCGTTAATATCTCGTCAACAAAACCTCGGATAATATTTTTGTTAAGGAAATACTTTTTCAAATCACCTCACGAGTCTCCCATTTTCGGGTCATCCAACATTTTTGTTATACCCTGTATATCTATATTTGTGTACATGTGGAACGCGCGTATGAGACAGAGAGGGGACGAGTGGGCGAGTGTTGTTCCATTTGCGGTCGTCCTTATTGCGGTCAGAGAAATCCGTCTATTGGCGATTTAAAAGCGAGTCGGGGGATAATGCCACCTGCGGTAGTAAGTAAAAGTACGACCAGAGTGGGGGGGGGGGGGGGGGGGGGGGCGGCAATTTTCTGCCCGGGACAAAGAATGTCCCGGGAGCTGGTTGAACACATTCCAACAGGGCGGCCGTCGGTGACCGATAGCAGGGTTCTCGCTTGCTTTGAAAAAGAAAAGACTGACCGATTATCTTTTACTGTTTATTAGTAAACTAAAGTACAAATGAATATCGTATTGAGAAATAATGTTGACTGGTCTATGATCTCTATATGAAATAATACTTCAGTTCGTCGGAAGTGAAACTAATTGTTAATCTTTTATTAAGAGGTCTGCAAAAATATTTCACTTATCTCTAGTTAAACTTCAGAGGATTTTCTAGGAAACAGATTTTATATTTAACAGAATTACCAATGAAATTTCAATTGATGATCAAGTTTTCTTCGGCAATCAAGTCGCTACTATACAAAGCAACAAGTAACATTATTGTCTTTTAATCTATTTCTAAATGACACTTCGAAAGAATTTTTTGGAAATAAACTTTATCTCTAAATAAAAATCGTCCACCACTTTGACTTGAATTTTCTAAGAATATATTTTTCTGACGATTAAGTTTCCGTTGGCCATCAAGTCAGTACTGTATAGGGTAACATACGTCATCATTGTCTTTTACTCTATTTCTGAATAAGACATTGAACATTTTTTTTTGAAAATATACTTTATCTTTATCTGAAAAATCGTCTGCCACTTTGGTTTGAAATTTCTAAGTATATTTCTCTTTTCGACAATCAAGTCAGTATATAAGGTAACAAATGACATAATTGTCGCTTAATCTTTTTCTAAATAAAACTCTGAAAAATTTAACAGAGAAATTGTTGTTAAAAATATTTTTTATCGGTGATCAAGCTTCATTCAGCGGTTACTATCAATACCTACAGACGACCAAATGGCATTGTTCCCTTTTGATCTGTTTCCAGACCGCTAAGTAACGTGAAATTTTTCTCCGATCGCAGTGGGATCGACCGGTGACGGGACTGTTTCGTGTATGTGATCGACAAAGACGCGTTGTATTTCTCGCGTTCGCGAATGTGCATGTGTACCGACAATGATCACGATGAACGCGACGGGTGATAATGGTCCCCATTGTCGTCATGCAACCCGATGAGACGCTCGAGATACGTGCAAACGGTCCTATTGACAGTCGCGGGGATGACGATGACGGTGGTGAATAGCGACAATGACTTCGTGATCGTGCGATAAGCTACCTCGTATTTTCTTATTTTACCCCATCTTTCGTAAAGCGTCATGCAAAGCTATAATCTCGGATTCCGAGCATGACGCGTCGGTACATCGTCTTATCGATCTTTTAATCGGAACGCAACCCTCTGGGATATCTCGTTGCACGGTCCGTTGCCGGTTTCGAACATCCGAGGACCTTTTTCATAAAGAACAATAGAGAGATTTTTAATTTTTCGAGAAAAGAGAGGCATTCACTCGTCGACACAGTGCACGTGATGCAAGAAACGGTCCGTGTAACGTAAGATGTAGATTAACCCTTTCAGTGCTGTATAAGAGCGTTTATGAATATGCATGCAGCGAGCAGATCGCTGTCCAGTAATAGTTGTTTCAATGAAACTTGGATCAATTAGGTAATAGTTATAGAATTTTATGTAAATTATGCCTTATACACAAAATTAATATAATTAAATTCTACCGAGTATATAATTTTTTAAAACATTCTTTGACGTCACGTGAAATCCGTAGTGAGAGTTTAGTTTTGAAGTATATGTATATCAGTTCGTCTCTGTCTTTCGCAGTATCAACACGTGCCTTGTGTTGCTCTCGAACCCAGTGAACGGATCTAATACATCTGTGTAAAACGTAAAATTTGATTTGCACACACTGTTATAAACTTTATATACTTTCTAAGTAAACAATCTCAAGTGTACAGTACTGTACTGGTGATCTATTAGCAGTACACATAATCAGTGCTTTTCATCAGTTGGATTCCTGTGAACTCCGTCCTGAGTCAAATACACACTTATCGTTAAACGCTTGCATTCTTTATATAAAAATGTCGGTAGTAGGAAATAAGTGTAAGGGTGGCAAGGCCAGTGTGGTAAATCCAGTGAAATGTTTTGACTGCGGCATAATATCGCATCCTGGAGCAAACTGTCTTACTTGAACGGGACATCCGTGACACAACGGCCGCTTAGTAAATTGTAAACAACAGGTAACGTCCTCTCCAATTCAATCACTCACTAACGTTCTACCGTTAACACCTGTCACTACATTACCGACAATAGATGACCCAAGAGACCTAATAAAGATGGAATTTCAAAACCTCAGACACGAATGCCTAAACCTACTTAGAATGGAAATATCATCCATTACATCTGATTTAAATGGAGTTCGTAACGAAGTAGTAAATCTCACAGCATTACCACAGTCAAATAATAATACACCAAATGAAGTAGTGCACAATCTACTCTTCGAAATCACTGATAGAGAAAGAAGATCCAAACATCTTCTGATCCACGGAATGATTGAAATGCCCGTAGACACTTCACCCTCAATGGTACTTAAACAAGATCTTGACACAACCAAAAATCTTCTCAACCAAATTTTTCCATCTGAATACAATCCAACATAAAATATCACGACTTGGAAGAAACACCGGCTCTTCTCCTCGACTCTTGCGCGTAACCCTACCGAACAACGAGATCACACGGCAAATTCTACTTAACAAATCCAAATACCTAGGACCGCTGAAGATTACAGACGACAAAACTCCATTGGAAAGGTCTCACTTACATCAACTTCGAGGGAAGCTTTCTATTCTTCACAGCCAAGGTGATACTGGGAGAACAATTCGTTACATCAATGGAACACCCCGTATTGTCGACTATTCATCCAGCCATCGATCAAAAAACTCAAAAAACTAAACACATCTCTATCCGTATACTACCAAAATGTCCGCGGCTTTCGTACTAGACTAGCTGAACTACATCAGACTATTAATACCACCACCGTTACTTTATGATATAATAATCTTGACCGAAACTTGGCTAAATACAAACTACTTCACAGAAGAACTAGGAATGTCTGCATATATGGTATACAGGATGGACAGAAATGCACATACCAGTAGTTTTAAAAGAGGAGGAGGCGTCCTTATCGCAATTAAAAAATCCCTTCCTAGCACCCAACTAATATCCGCTGTCATTGATATCGAACATCTGTTTGTAAAAATAAATGTCTCCTCACGACCCCTGATAATATGTACAGCCTACATTTCACCTGCATTCCCTCCTTCAATTTTTATCGACCATTTCAGCAGTCTAAACAACATTCTCTCTAATCATCCATCCTCCAACATCCTTATAATTGGCGATTACAACTTACCTTACATTCAGTGGCATCCTTTAACATCCAACTCTTACTCACCCT